CCTCGCCCGCCGGCCGCCTCTGCGACCCGCGCGGCCCTGTCCCCGCCCCAAGGTGACGGAGCGGCCCGTGGGGGCCGCAGAGCCGGAGGTCCCCGGCGAGCCCGCGAGCGCACGCGGTGGCGCGGAGGAGCGGCTGCCCGACGGCCTGCGGGAGTCACTGTTAGGGCGGCCGGTCGCTCCAGGGATCGCGGGGCCGACGCTGCCTGCAGGCCTGCTGCCTCGGGCCCCGCCGCGTCCCGGCCCGGCCTGCTCGCGGCGCCCCGGCCTTTGGGTCCACGTGGCCAGAGCTCCCCGCCGCCGGCCGCGTGGCCTAATGGATAAGGCGTCTGATTCCGGATCAGAAGATTGAGGGTTCGAGTCCCTTCGTGGTCGAGGCTTTTGCCTTCCGAGGAGGTGGCGGTGGAGCCCGCGGATAAGGGTCCCAGGTGTGACCGCAAGAGCGCTTACGTTTGCGGAAGGCACGCGCGCGCCAACCCGGAGCCTTCTTAACGTTCCCACTTGGCAGAGACCGCGATCAAGGCCTAACAGTTTAGCTTCTCTCCCGAAGCTACACAACCGAGAGGTAAATGTGGAAACTAAGCCAAGATGTATTACTTTTGGAGCTGACTCTCAATATTAAAACCAACTTTTGTTTTTTATTATCATAATTGTTTTGTTTTCATATGGTAAAATATATATACAATAGTCATTAAAAATTTTTCATACATAATTTAATGCTTTCACTGCCTCCAGCAGAAGTTGTGCAACCGTTAGCCCCCATTTTCCTTCAGCTCTTGCTCCTCTCCAAGCCATTTCCTGCCTCCACACATGTGGCTGTTCTAGACTTCTCGTGAAAGTGCAATTATGCAGCATCCAGACCTTGGTGCTGAGCCTATTTCACGTAGCAAAATGCTTCCAAGATCCATCCATGCTGTAAGGCGGCAGGATGGTTCCCAGGCTGGGGGCAGCTCCCCAGCCACGAGAGTGCGCTAAGCACGTCTGGGCGTGGATACCCAGCACCACAAAACACATGCAAGAATACCCGTCCAGAGTCGATGAAGCAGAGCAACGAGCATGACCTTCTCAGCTAGGGGCTCTCCCTGCTCCTGCCCCTGGTGATGTTTGGAACAATTCCTAGCCTCACTCCTCACACTCAGCATGGGGTGCCCTGTGGGCAGCGATGACAGTAGAGCTGAGGGTAGGAAGGGTCAGAGTGAAGGCTTGGTCCCCTCGCATCCATGGGCTGGGTCCTGGGTTCCGGTCCCAACCCTGAAGGAAAACATGTTTTTCTGAGGGCGAAGATGTGCTTACTCCCTTCCTTGGAGCCTCCTCCCCACATTACCTCTGCATTTTGCTGCTTTCCTCTTCCTGTGGCAAGGGACTTCCACCCCGAGTCTCAGCAGACAGGCTCCGAATGGTGGGTGAGGCCCCACACCTGAGCTCAGACTCAGTGGCCTCCTGCCCTTTCTTTCCTAGGGGCAGAACCTGGAAGTGATGGTGTGTTTGGTCTTAAGAGACCCTGGGCCAAACTCAGAGCTCACAGGTGTGAGCTCACAGGACGGGAAGCGCAGAACCCTGACCTAACCCCAGGATCCAGTTTACTAAAACACACAGAAGCAGAGATAGATAAGCTCAAGAGTTCTTGTAACCATTGAAGAAACTGAAATCATTAATAGCCTCCCAAACAGTAAAGCACATGCCCATGTCTTGGCTACTTTCCCCTCGTTGCTGGGACAAAATGCCCCACCCTCAACATTTAAGAGAAGGGTTTATTGAGCTCACAGTTTGTAGAAGTTTCAGTCTCCAACAAGCTGGCTCCACGCAGGGCAGCATGGCACGGGAGCAACAGTTCAGGGGGCAGAAGACAGTAAAGGCGGAGGGGGGGCCTCTTTTCTGCCCTTGTGGTAACCTGGCTGCCGAGGCCCGGGGCTGGGGTAGACTCCCGCCATCTCTGGCTGTGCTCTTGCACAGGATGAGGGTGTTTACGAAGGAGGACCCTGCCCCCCTGCTGAGCTGCTTAATGAACCTTATAAACTTCTCAAGTTGACACAATATATCACATGTAGCACCCAGATGATGCATTGGCATTATTGTCAAATATTTAAGGGGAAAAAAAAGTTAGTTATCTGCAATCTCTTCCAGAAGATAGAAACAGTCACTTGTCACTTCATTCTGAGGCTAGAATTACTTTAACAGCAGGGCTAGATGGAGACGCAAGACAGGAAATCCTCAGACCACTGTCTCCTACAGACAGATACAAGAGTCCTTCATGAAATACTAGTAAATGGAATCCAGTAATGCAAGAGAAGAATTATACAGCACAATCAAGTGGGCTTTATTCCAGGCGTACTGTTATGGTTCATGTCTAGTTGTCCTCCAAAGCCTCATGTAGGTCATGGGGCAGATGCTGCTGGAGGACCCGCGAGTGGCTTGAGGGGCGGGGCCAGAGGACCAGGGCGGAACTTGAGGGGCGGGGCCAGAAAGGAGCAACCCATTACACTCACAACATGCCCTCCCTAACATACACACACACACACACACACACACACACACACACACACACACCCGCCTGGTGGCCTCTCTTGGAGGTATGGAGCAGATCATTCTGGACACGGCAGTACCTCAGCCTCTCTTCCAGACCCTGTAGCACGGGAGAGCTGTGTCTCAAGGTCTTGCTATGTGATTAAGGCTGCTTTATACTATGAAACCTCCAGTAACTGTGAGCTAAATAAACCTTTGCTTCCCTAAGCCTGAGTGTCGGGTATTTGTCTCAGCAATGAGAGAAGAGTAACTAAGACATGTACTGTACTGGCTCATTGGTAATCAATCTCATTTACAGACTAAAGAAAACTGTCATTATACTAGTAGAGACAGAAATTTATTGAATGTACACAACACTCAGAAAACACTGAAACATGTACAGCACTTAGAAAAAAACACTTTCAGCAAACTAGGAATAGAGGAACTTCCTCAAACTGATAATGTCTACAAAGCAAAACCAATTCTGGGGGCTGGTGAGATGGCTCAGTGGTCTAAAGCACCTACTTAGAATAAGCTTTAGCAAAGCACAGGGACTGCGGTTCAATCCCCCAGCACCACATGCCAGCCAGCCTCGTCCCCTGGTGGGCTGAGATGGCCACACACACACACACACACACACACACACAAATAAAATTTAAAAATTTAAAAAACAAAAAACAACAATTCTGCACTCATCTCTGGCACTCTACAGGTGCATCGACAGCCTCTGAGTCTCTGGCTTCTTGCCTCTGCTCTATTACCAAAATGTCGCTTTCTAACAAGCTGACTCTGGACAAGCTGGAAGTGAAAGGGAAGTGACTCATGATGAGAGTGGATTTCAATGTTCCTGTGAAGAATAACCAGATAACCAACAACCAAAGAATCAAGGCTGCTGTCCCAAGCATCAAATTCTGCTTGGACAATGGGACCAAATCAGTTGTCCTGGGCTGGCCAGATGGTGTCCCAGTGCCTGACACGTTCTCCTTACAGCCAGTTGCTATAGAACTCAAATCTCTGCTGGACAAAGATGTTCTATTCCTTTTTTTTATTACATTTATTTATTGTGTGTGTGTGTGGCCAGCTCAGCCCACCAGGGGGCGGGTCTGGCTGGCATGTGGTGCTGGGGATCGAACCGCGGTCCCTGTGCTTTGCCAAGCTTGTTTCAAATAGGTGCTTTAGACCACTGAGCCATCTCTCCAGCCCCAGGATGTTCTATTCCTGAAGGACTGTGTGGTCTAGAAGTAGAGAAAGCCTGTGCTGACCCACCAGTTGGGTCTGTCATCCTGCTGGGGAACCTCTGCTTTCGTGTGGAGGAGGAAGGGAAGGGGAAAGAAGCTTCTGGGAACAAGGTTAAAGCTGAGCCGGCCAAAATCGATGCTTTCCGAGCTCCACTTTCCATGCTAGTGGGTGTCTGTGCCACCGATGCTTTTGGCACTGCACACCGAGCCCACAGCTCTATGGTGGGAGTCAATCTTCCACAGAGGGCCAGTGGATGTTTGATGAAGAAGGAGCTGAACTATTTTGCTAAGACCTTGGAGAACCCAGAGCGACCCTTCCTGGCCATCTTGGGCGGAGCTAAAGTTGCAGATAAGATCCAGTTCATCAGTGATATGCTGGACAAAGTCGATGAAATGATTATTGGTGGTGGAATGGCTTTTGCCTTCCTTAAGGTGCTCAACAACATGGAGACTGGCACTTCTCTGTTTGATGAAGAGGAATCCAGGATTGTTAAAGACCTGAAGACCAAAGCTGAGAATGGCGTGAAGATTACCTTGCCTGTTGACATTGTCACTGCCAACAAGTTTGATGAGAAGGCCAAGACTGGCCGAGCCACTGTGGCCTCTGGCATACCTGCTGGGTGGGGGAGCTTGGGCTGTGGTCCTGAGAGCAGCAAGCAGTATGCTGGGCTGCCGGTTGTGCCAAGCAGATTGTGTGGATGGACCTGGAGGGTATGTGAATGGGAAGCATTAGCCAAGGGCACCAAAGCCCTCACGGATGAGGTGGTGAATGGAACACAGAGGCTAACGTCAGCCGTGTGAGCACTGGAGGAGGTGCCAGTTTGGAGCTCCTAGAAGGTAAAGTCCTTCCTGGAGTGGATGGTCTCAGCAGTATTTAGTGCTTTCCTGCTTTGTGGTTCCTGTGCACAGCCCCAAGACAAAATAGTATTTTCTGCATCTCCACTTGGCATTAGCTAAAAATTTCCTCCACATGGAGATTCAGCTAATGGCCAAGGGATGCAGCATCCGTAACCCTTAAAGAGTTCTACTACATCTCAGCTGATGTCTACTGCACCCTGGACTGGATTCTATTCTTCAAGTTGCCATTTAAGTTTCTTAGTGACTAAGTCATTGTGCATTCTAGAATGCATCTACAGTTGCCTGTTAAAAGAAAGTGAGCTGTGTTTCAAGTAGTTTATTCTAATTGGCTTTGTCACTGTTCATTACTTAGCATGGATATAAAATGAAACTCCACTTGTAGGGAGGGAGAAGTTGTTGGTGATTTATTCAATAAAAAAATAAAAGTGTTTACCCCCCAAAAAAGCAAAACCAAACCTGAAGCTATGTCACTCTTAATGGTGAGAAATGAGAAGATTTTCTACGAAGATGGGGAACAGAGTGAGGGTCTCTCCTCTCACCGTTCCCTTCACCTGTGCGGGGAAGCCCTGGCCACAATTAAACATGCAAAGGAAACAAGAGGTATAGATTGGAAAGAAAGAACTACAACTATTTTTACTTGCTGGTGATGTAATATCAATGTAGAAAATATAAAAAATTCTGGAACTAAAACTGATTATAGATCAGGCAGGCTGGCACCTGCATGT